CCTAAAGTATAAGCCCATTTAATATTATTCAGAAATGACAAATGGTTAAGATGATATGACGTCATCAACATTTTGAGAAAAGAAATCTAAATTTTTTTCTTATTTTTTAATTTAGATGTCAATATCATGACGTCACAATGTCCGATCAGCTATTATGATATATAAAATCATATCTACAGCTCATGTGCTTTCAGAATATGTAATAAAAATTGGGGGTCACCTTTCATCCTAAGGAGCTATAACTGATTAAAAAAAGACCTGATATAAAGCATATTTTAATTTTGACGCACGCGAACGCTCGCGTTATTACGCGCGCACAAAAATATAATGTACATAACATTTAACCATGACCTGAAGTTTATGCCTACTAAATATGATTCAGAAATCACGAATGATTAAGGTGATTATGGGGTCATCAAAGGTTTGACGAAAGAAAGATGAGGGTGTAAGCAAAACCCTATATTTTGACCATGATGACCTCATCAAAATGTTAAAAAAAGTGTACGTATTTGAAAGAGAATTGACTTAGCTATAACATACTCAAAGTTGGAAGAAAATCGACCAAGAATAATCGAGATACGCTGAATTGCGCATTTTTTAAAAATGACGACATCGATAATATTCTGTTTGTTGAATTCAGAGGGCAATATGATGACGTCATAATGTCCGATCAGCCATTATGACCTATAAAATCATATGTAAAACTCATGTGCTTTCAGAATATGTAATAAAAATTGGGGGTCACCTTTCATTCTAAGGAGCTATAATTGATTGAAAATAGGCATTTTTTGGCCTATTTTTGCTATATGTCGAAAAAACGCGCACACGTGCTCTTATGTTCTATGCGCGCGTACGGCATTGCTATTGACCCTAAATGTCCAAAAAAGATTGGAAATTTGTGAATACAGTGTCAGGGACCTAAAACATTTTAAAAACAATATTTTTAACTTCTGTACGTGACGCGCGCGTAAAAATGCGCACGCGGTGCCGAAAATTTTAAAAATGTTGAAATGCTCAAAATGGCTTTAAACGTGCTCTAATATAGTCAAAAATTGATTTCGACTATTTTAAAATTTTGACCACGCGTACGCGCGCGTTATGAAGCGCACGCGCAAAATGAGTGTACATTGCAATCAACCTTCACTCGAAGTTAATGCTCACGTAATACGATTTTGAAATGTTAATTGGTTAGGCTGATATAATCAATTGCGTAAAAAACACAAAAATGCGCGTAGATGACGTCACACGTGACTGGTAACCTTGCAAATCTTATTGTCACTATTCCAGGCCAAACCCAATTTTTGTTGTAGTCGTTTTGTGCGTAGCTCTCGGCAAATTTGAGATATCGTGCGAACAGTTATTTGTCAGAATGTAGAATAAAAAAAAAATCTCTGACAATAACAAGAGGTGATCCGCACTAGATGCGGATCACCAAAAAGTTGAAGATGATCCTGACAATAACAATAGGTGATCCGCTAACGTTAGCGGATCACCAAAAAGCTAAAGATGATTCCGTACCATAACAATAGGTGATCCGCTAACGTTAGCGGATCACCAACTAGATTTGAACTCGTCACTGAGGACGAGTTTGGTGATCCGCCGTACTTTGACCCTCACGAAGCACGTGCGGTTCTGATTGAAACATGCTCTATTTAAAGAGTAATTTTGAGCATTTTAAAAGAAACACATACGTCTTAACAACCGTGCGCACGGTAGTAATAAATACAGTGTCACAAACCCAACACATGTAACCGAAACGTAATTTCCAGCTTCAGTACGTGCTGTGGGCTTGGAAATGAGCGTACAGCGCGTAAATTTTGGAAAGTTTTGGAATATTCAAAATGACCTGAAACGTGCTTTAAATTATCTGAAAAGTGATATTAACAATTTTAAAATTTTAACGCACAAGTACGAATACCTTATACGACGTGCCTGGCGACGGTAATGGCACATGAATTTAAACCTTGTCAAGTTTAATTTAAAATCCCTGTTGGTTGGTAATGCCACATGAATTTTGCTTTTACAGTATACGAACTATCGGTCTGATAGTGATGAAATACAATCTGCCGCCCTCTATTTTCAATGTGTTTAAATCTTTTAAGAAAGAAAGATGAGAAGGCTCCAAAAAAAGCATTCTTTTTGACCATGATGACGCCATCAAAATAGAAAATAAAGGGACACGTCCGAAAGAAAATTGATTTAGCTATAACATACTCACAGGTGGGAGACAATCAATCAAGATAAGCGAGTAAGTTCAAACGAGTATAAAAAGTAATAACGTCATAAATAAAAATTCAATTTTTTCTTAATTCAAATGGCAATATGGTGACGTCACAATGTCCGATCAGCCAATGTGATCTATAAAATCGTATCTACAACTCATGTGCTTTCAGATTATGTAATAAAAATTGGGGGTCACCTTTCATCCTATAGAGCTCTAAGTGATTAAAAATATTCATGGTTTTATGCATATGTAAATGTTGACGCACGCGTACGCGGACGTTAAGTCGCGCGAACGGAAAATTATGGTACCTGACATTCAACCTTGACCTGAAGATTATGCTCACCTAATATGATTCAGAAATGACGAATGGTTAAGATTATATGGGCTCATCAAAGTTTTGTGCAAAGAAAGATGTGGGGGTTCAGAAAAAACAATTTTTTGACCATGATGACATCATAAAAATGTAAAAAGATGTCAAATATATGAAAGAGAATTGTCTCTGCTATAACATACTCAAAGTTGGAAGACTATCGATCAAGGATAAGCGAGATACGCTCAAATGCGTTTTTTCAAAAATGACGTCATAGCTATAAATCACTTTCTTTGAATTCAGATGCCAATATGATGCCAATGTCCGATCAGCCATTATGATCTATAAAATCATATTTACAACTTATGTGCTTTCAGAATATGTAATGAAAATTGGGGGTCACCTTTCAACCTAAGGAGCTATAACTTATTAAAAATAGGCCTGATTTTAGCATAATTTCACTGTATAGCGGCACAAATACGCGCAAAGATACCTTTGTTTGATGCGCACGTACGGTATTGCTATTGGCCAAAAGATGACTGAAAAGAATGGAAGTTTGTGAAAACAATGTCAGGAACCCAAACTATGTAAACAAATATAGTGTCTAGCTTTTGTCGGCCATCATCTGTGTGGTACTGGCGCATCTGAACAGCGTCAAGACCAAACCGTTACATCCGATGCTTAAGAGGGTGTTGGAGTTCACGAGAATCCACTGGCCGTTCAACCTCTTGTTTGTCCTGCCGGACAGATCGGCCGGTCTTGTCGCGTGCGTCCTCATCTTGAACGACGTTCGCGAACGCAGGTTTCTACCGTCCCGAGTGACCAATGCCCTTTCCCTTTTGAGCGAGGAGGAGGCGTCGGGGATGAAGAGCATTCTGTTCGTGCAGAGAAGATGCGCCCAGGTGCAGTACTCGTACGATTAGACGTACGAAACTGGAAGCGGTTCCGAGTCCATCGTCATATGCAGATACTGCTACATAGCTCTCACGTACGTCGACCTCAAGAACCGCCCTCCGACCAAAGGTATGTACATCGACGAGAACACGCTGGAGCCTGCGTGCTACAACTGCCACTCGAGAAGGTTGGCGACCTTGGTCCTCGACGGTGCCGGAGTCAGGCTGAAACTCAAGCAACCCGACTTGGCGATGATGCGTTCTTGCAGATGCGGCGCCATCACCTCGCGCGATGCTTGCGCCTCGTGCGAATGATCAATAAAAAAAATAATAAATTGAAAACACAAAAGTTTTTTTTTTCTCGTTCTTTTATTTCTCTCTTTTTAAAAAATTGTCATCATTGCAAAGAAAAGTGATCGTCTTTTTTTCTTGTACACGGTTCCGGACGTTCGGACAACAACCTATGGGCAAAGCCAGTACGGTACCCACGACGATCACGAACCTCCAGAGTGCCGACAGGCGCCTCGATATCACCGTTGAATGCTCGCTCGTCCAAGGGAACAGCACGTGTCGCGCGAGCACGGCGTCGAAGTCGGTCATGGTGCAGTACTCCGTCGTGACCGAATCCGTCCCTCGCAGAAGGTGCTCCGCTAGAACTAAACATCTTGCGTAGAAGGGAACGACGTCGTCGTCTGTGCCGCTTCCGCACGCAGCTTCCAACCGTCGTTGCAGATCCACAGACAACTCCTCCAACGAGTCGTCTTCGTCGTCGTCGTCGTCGTCCTCCTCCTCCTCCTCCTCCTCCTCTTCCTGCTCACCATCCTCGAATAGTTCTAGATTGCGGTCGGCGTCGATCGCCCTCCTGTATCGCGCCCACCTCGACCATCTCCTTCGCACGCGCACTTCGAGATTCCTCCACATTTCGAAAGACAATCAGAAAACGGAAGTGACGAGTTCGCGTCTCTCCCGCTCGCGTTCTTCGCAGTTAGTTACGATGTCGGCAAGCAGGATGCTTATGAGAAGCAGGAAGTTGTCGGAACTGGTGGCCGGGTCGTCAATGTCGTCGAACATCTTCCACTATCACCGCGCCGGGATCGTGTCCGATATTGCGATCCAGTAACATCTCGGCCAACTGGACGAGCGTATCCGTGTCCGTCCACTTTATACTTTCGGCGTCGTCGTCGAAAAGCACGTAACGCGCGTCTCCCCTTCCGTCGAACCCGGCGTGGTCGCTGCTCGAAAGGAAGCAGATGGGAACCGTGCACGCCGGGAATCTTTCCCATGAACGTTATCAACCTCGCGAGAGATCTGGTGGCCGGCGTGGGGATCCGCGTAAATCACGGTCGGCGCGAAGGTCGTGGAACCGTACCTGTCGGACAACCTCTTCACCGCCTCCGGTACTTCGTCCTCGGACTCGACTAACCGTCTTGCTTGGTTCAGAAACTGATGAAACGAACATTCGTCCTCTCCGATCAACCCTCCGTAGGCAGTGAAGCTCGGTCGGTAGTCCACGACAAACGGGATGGGACGGGGGTTTTCGTTCTCTTCGGAGTTGCCGACCAGGACGTCTTCGCTATTCGTCGTCGTCCACTTCCTCTTCGGATTCGCACGCAGAACTTCTGGAACATGCGTCGTCGACGTAGTAGCTGGAACCGACGTTACGGCGACCGGGATGTTCCCGACGTTGTCGTTGAGACCCTTCGCGTCTGCAATCGTTCAGTAATCGGCGCAATTTGCTTACCTCGACACTTCGACCGTAATTTACTGTTTCTATTTCGTTCGTCAGATAGGATATCTGCCGCATTAATTCTTTGTTAAATTGCGCACAATCGGCAGCCTTCATCTTTTCATTTTCCAACGAACGTTCCACTTCATCGAGGCGTCGTGTAAGAAGGTCTCGACATTCCTCGTGCGATCGTCCGTCCTCCGAGTTCTCGACGATTCGAGTCACTTCGGAATACGCCTCCGCCACTTTGTTATTGACAAAGTTGAGCTGTCTTTTGATCTCGTCCATATCCATCTTCGTTTTCGTCAAATCTGATCTCAATTCGTCCGCTTCCTTGTTCTTCGAAAACACCGCTTCTTCGAGGTGGACAACCTTTTTAATCGATTCGTCGTAAAAATTTTTCCGATTCCGATAGCCTCTTTTTCATTTTGGTGTTCTCTTTCACCAATCTATCGCGCGCGTCGATGACCGTTTTGAGTTCTTTACTTAGTTCCGAAATCATTCTTTCGTTGGATTAACCCGACTTCTCCCTCTTTTCGTCGCTCAGAAGTCGTTCGAGTTGTCGGATCTCCTGTCGATGTCTTTCCAGCTCCCGCTTCAACGAATCCGTTTCTTTCGAATCCGTTACATTCTTGTCCACGTTCGAATGTTGGGACTGAAGATTTGCGCGTTCTTTCTCGGACGTCTTCAGCAGGTCGCGAAGTTTGTCGAGATCTGCCGAACGTCTTTCGACCGTCGCTTGCCACGACCTCTTCTTGGCTTGCCACCTTTCAAGGTCCTCCTTCGACCGACGTTCGTTTTCGGTCGCGAGCTTCAGTTTCCCCGAGAAGGACGCACACTCGTCAAGAGCCTGTTCCGCTTCGGCCGATCGCGAAATCTTATCGGATTCTAGTTTAGCTATCCGATCGAGATGCTTCTCTTCCCGTTCCTTTAGGTGCGCATGAAACTTACCTGCGTCTCTTTTCAGTTTCGATTCCTTTTCTTTAAGGAAAGATATCTGCGTTCGAAGATTTTCGATCTCGTCCGAGTTGCTCGCCTTCGCCGTTGCAAGTTTTGTTTCAGCGTCCGATTTCTCCCTCTCGAGATCTTCTCGAAGCGATCCGAGTTCCTTGGCGTGGGATTCGTGAGATTCGTCGCGTGCCTTCTTCAATTCTTCGACCCATTGCTTCCACTGCGGGATCTCCTCGATTTTTTCGTGGTTCGCCTGATCTCAGCTTCCTTGGCGGCCGCCAGATCGCGGGACGTCCGTCGCAGTTCGTCTTTCGTCTTTTCTAGAAGGACGGAAAGTTCGGCACTCTTGTCGTCCGTGCATTCTTCGCGCGCTCTCGAGAGGTCCGTTTGCAATGCGGCTATATCATCTTTGAGAGCGGTCTCCTCGCGTCCCTTGTTGGCGAGCTGCACCACCAACCGTTTTATTTTCCGTCCGTCACGTTCCCTCCCTTCTTTCATGACGGCGATCTCGTCTTCGAGACCGGCCGCCTCTCGAATCTTCTTCGCAATCGTAGCGTCCAACTCTTTCATCCTCTTCACGTTTCTTTCAATTTCTTCTTTGTAGGCCGTCATTGGATCGTCCGTTTTACTTCCGTTCCGTTTCATTTTTTCTTCCAGGGTGTCGATCTCGTTCCGCAAGTCGATAGCCGTGCGATCTTTATCGGAAAGCTGCTTTTTCATCCTCCTACTCTCCTACTCGTTATCATCTTTTAGGGCGGTTAATTTCTCGACATCCTTGATCAGCGAAGACTTCTTTCGGGTGGCCTCGCCAGCTTTTCCTTAAGATCGGTAATCTCCGTTCGGAGAATGTCGGTCCTGTTGGAGTGATCGGCCTTGGCCGTTTCCAGATCTGCGATCGCTTGCGCCTTGTCGGACTCTGCGGAAGAACGAAACTCGCGAAGGTTCGCTTCGTGATTCTTCTCCGTTACTTTCAACCATTCCTTCAGACTCTCGACCTCCCTCTCGCTCTCTTCCAACTTCTTCGCCGTCCGTCGTTGCATGTCTTTGGCAGTCTCCACTTCGCGAGTCGCCAGTCGCAGATCTTCTTTGATCTTTTCGAGAATCGCCGAACGTCGTGCGTCGCCGTATCTGCGTTCCTTGGAAGCCGTTGCCACCTTTTACTTTTCGGCACGAAGTTCGTCTCTGAGGGAGGTGATCTCCTTGTTCGCGTCAACCGTCGAGCGATCTTTGTCATCCAACCGTACCTTCAGACTCTCCACCTGCTTCTCGGTCTCTTCCAGCTTCGTCGGCGACCGTCGTTGGAGGTCCTTTACAGCCGCCGCTTCCCGGTTCGCCAGTCGCAATTCGTCTTTTATCTTCTCGAGCGTCACCGAACTTCGGGCGTCGTCGTCGCTGCGTTCCTTCACGGCTGTTGCCACCTTGTCCTTTTCGGCACGAAGTTCGTCTCTGAGAGCGGCGATTTCCTTCTTCAGGTTGGTCGTCGCTCGATCTTTGCCTGAAATCAGTCTGTCTTTGTCGCCGAGCGTCCGTTTCGATGCGCGAAGTTCGTCGTCGATACTTTCGATCCTCCTGGCGTTCGCTTCCACCTCCTCCTTCAGGTTCCTGTTCTCTCGAAGAACCTCCGAATGACGCCTTTGGTCCTTTTTTTAGGTCCTTGATCGCACTCTTCAATCGCATAACCGTCTTCCGTTCCTTCTCCAGATCGGAATGCGCTCGCCGCAACTCCTCCTTCTCTCCGAGGTTCACTTCCATTTCGTACAACGACTCTTCGGGTTGCCGTCTTAACAGTTCTCGCTGCAATTCGACTTTCTTGTCGGCCATAGATTGCGCGTGCTCGTCTGCCTTTTTCGCGGCCGCCTCCACAATCCGTCTGCTTTTCACTTCCTCGTCGTATCGCTTGCAAGCCGTTTTCAGGTTTTCTTCCAAGACGTCCACCCGCTTTTCGTACATGGACATCGCTGTCTTGGCAAGCGTCGACTCTTTCTTCAGCGCGCTGATTTTGTCGTCTTTCTCTTCCAACTCTTCTTCCAAGTCGGCGTGCGATCCCTCTTGGTCTTTTAGTTTGCGGACGGCTTCCTGCAGCTTTTGCTGCAGCTCGAGTCCGCTCTCTTCAGGTGGCGGCTGCTTCGACTTTCTCCTCGCGGCTTTCAGATCCGATTTCAAGCGAACTACGTCCAGATTCCTTTCCTTCAGGGCATCCGTCTTGGAAGCGAGTTCTGTCTTGAGACGTTCGACCTCTTCCTCCGCGATGCTGCGAACGTCGGACGATTCTCTCAACGCGGACATCTTCGCCTCGTGTATTTCGTCTTTTAATTTCTGTATGATGACTTTGGCTTCGGTCAGTTTTCGTTCCTTTTCAGCAAGTTTGTCCTGCACCTCGTTCAGTTTCTAGTGCCCAGTTCCAACGTACTTTCGTTCTCCTTCGCCGATTCTCGACGGTGCGCATCGAGATCTTCCAGCGCGACGGACTTGGGAGTCGCCGGCGTCGAAGACGACGTGGGTCTCGCGTACGATCTCCCGTCGGCGTCGCTGCCCCGTCGTCGTCGTAGGCGTCGTCGTCCTCGTTGGCAGCTTCTCTTTCGATTGTTTCTTCCATGTCGCGATAGTCTTGCGAATTGAAGTCGTACGGGAGATTGGATGGAGGGCCTTCGCGGTCGCCCACTCTCCTTCCAGTCGTTTCCTGGGGTTCAGTGATCACGGGAAGGTCGCGGAGGGCTTCGGAATCCAACACGGATTCCGCATAGTGTTGCTTCCGTTGCTACGGTGGAAGCTCCGCGCGGGTAACGTCGCGACCTCCAACTCCTCCGAAGTCGTCTGTGGTGTGACGAAGGTATTCTCTTCTTCTCCGTCGTCGTACCGTTCCAAAGCGTCGAAGAGCTCGTCGGCGGCGCCGGAATCTCCTCGATCTTCAGACGTCGACGGACGCTCGTCTGCACGCGACCGGCTTGGAACCTTCTCTTCTAACTGAAGCAGGTTTCTGTAGCTGGCTTCCGAAAGATCGTACCGACATCTCTCTGTCGCTTCCACGCTTTTAGTCGGCGTGTCCAATGCTATTGACGCACCCGTCATACGTGTGGATGGGAACTTGCAGAGGACGTTCAGCAAGATTGCTGAGACGTTCGCTTCGTAATGACAGCAGTCCTGTCTCTGTGGGTCGTCTCCCGATGGGGTCCCGAAAGGGGGCAGTTGCGACCGGAATTCCTCTAGTTCGTCACCTACGCTCCTTACGAGATTGTCGTCTCTCAATCTGTCTTTGAGGAAATCGCGTTCTTGCACGTAAGAAAACGACGTATCCGAACAGTCGGTCGAAATCCACGTCCAACGCCACCTTCTCGAAACTCGCAAACTCCGACTCTATCATCTCCGCCGTCTTCTTCAACCACGCGACGCTCGCTCGATCTTCCTTCATTTCGATGTTCAGGTATTGCGCGTGTCCCGCTACGAGGAGATTGTCCTCCCAAACTTGTTCGGCGTTGACTATCTCGGCTTCGATCCTTTCGTCGCTCCATTGTTCGACGATCTCCTTGCTACGTCCAAAGAGGAGAGTCCACGTGCATGGTCGCAGAGGGAGGTCCTCGGCAGCGAGGTGGTCCACGACGCGCCCGTACACGAGACAGGTCAAGACGAGATGCAACACCGGACTCCTAAACTCGATATCGGCCACGTACCGCAACAGCCGGTACGTGGTTCCGATCTCGACGTTCTTCACGAAAAAGCACGCACGTACGAGCTTTTCGAAGTCTTCGTCGTCGAGACCGGTATCCTTCTTCAACATCAATTTTCGCGTCGAGTCGTTGTCGCGGGAACTCGTGAACAGCTTTCAACAGAACTCCTTCGCCGTCAACCTCGTGTCCGGATACTTTCATCCGAAACCTGCACACCTTCTCGCCCATCATCCGTTGCAGCAGACTCGAACATTCCGTGAAACAGGATGTGCTCACCTCGAATATCCGAGGCAGCAGCCGGTCTCCAGGAAGTGGTCTCAGCCGATGGAACCGAGGCAGTAGCACGACGGAGATCTCGAAGCTAACGCCGTACACGGTCCTCTTCAACAGGTACAAAGTACTTTCGTCCGAGTTCGATAGCAAGAAATGCTTCTTTGATTCAGTCTGTTCGGAATAGCAGAGCAGAAGCGTCATCAGGTCGCACACGAACTGCTTGACGTCATCCAGAAACGATTCGTCGATCGCAGCACCCTCGTTCGGTAACCTTTCAAAAGAGACGTGCACGAGGAATGATTCCCTCAGAGCTTGCATCAACTTGGCCTCCCTCTCCAACTTTCTCACGACGATGTCCCGTCCTTTCTTCACGAAGAACGCGCGGTTGTACTCACGTCGCTTTTCTCGGTTCGTGAGATTTCTCAACACCCTGTCAACCGCGTCCGCGAAACGTGCCATGGCTCCGTCCCTACTCCGCGTCCTGGAGGCGTCTCGTCTCTGTCCCACGAACAGCGGCAGGTCGCGTCCCACAACCTCCGGTTCGTAATCGTTCAGGTAGAACTCCTTGCCGGTAAACGAACATCTTCTGACGTTGTGGTCCAGATGTTGGATCGCGCAAAGTCGTTCGTCGGCCGCACAGACGTGGACCCCGAGAGACTTTCGCAAACGAAGTGGGTACCGTCCTGCAGCGGTTCCGCGAATCCGCACGCATTCGGCACGCATTCGTGAAGTTCGTCGACGTGGTAGATGTTGTAACGTTTCGCTGTCACATACGCGTTGAGCGCTGCCGCAGCCATCTTTCGCATTTTTTTTTCTCTAAAACCCTCTTTTTATATTTTTAAGGCTTCCAGAGGAACCGGCTGCGACCTCGGATGGATGGACGAGTACCCTTGGATGATGCAAGCGGCGATGATATCCACCTTGCCCGTGTTTCAACCGAAGAACGTGTCGGTTCTGCTCACGTCGTTTATGACCTCCAGCGAGCACTGGTCTCAGGAACTGATGACGATCAAACACGAGGGACGACCTCTCGTAAAGTACATCACGCAATCGTACCTGTGCGACGCCTGCTTCGAGAGAGGCGTCCGCAAGGTGTGTCCCCACCGGAGACACCTGGTGCCGGAACACATAGACGGTAGTGAAGGGAACGTGGTGCAGCAGATGATGAATCTGATTGCGAGCGGAAGCTACGAGCTGGAATGCATGGGCATTCCCGTCTGCTCGCCTTCGTCGCTCGCCGAACGTCTTTTCTCAGGAAGGTTGCTCTCCCGGCTGTTCGACGAAGAACGGAGGTCCGGCAGGAGATCCGGATTCGCATCCGGTCTGCTGATCACCGTGGATCCCACGCCGTCCCTCGACGGTTGCGTTCGCCTCCATAACGTTTTCTCTGCCGCAGGTTCTCGTAACGAGCTCGCCGTGCGACAAACCCGATGCGTTTATCTCGGCCGTTATCGCCTTGGCGTCGGTCTCCATCTTCCATCGGACGAAGAGGTCTTTGCGTTCTCGCAAGAAATCCAGGTCGCACTCCACAGGATGGAAAGCTCTCCTCAACATGTTTTAACGCGAATTAGTTAGAAACCAGAGAAGTTTCTCCGTTTTTATTAACACCGTTTTCTTGTCTCTTTCGCAGATTCTAGCTGTGAAGCACGTGGTCGCCACAGTCGACCGTATGGATTCCTTGTTGGACGTGCACAGAGACCTCGTCGCCGACACCGTGAACGAAGTCCTGTCCACGTACCGAACGCTGAACAGCTGGCCCGTTCGCGTGTACGTCGAACGGAACACTTCGCACGCCCACGCTGCGATGATGGCAAAGCAGGTGACGGATCGGTTCGCCGGCACGTCCGTCGACGTCTCGTTCGAGAAGGAGACGAGACAGGACGGCGCCAGGTACGTCGGACTGTGGACGAGGGACAAGGGCAATCTCGTGCACCTCTCTCAGATGCTGCTGGAAAACGATCGGGTCGCGTTCTCTGAAGACATCGACGTCACCTCGATGGAGACTTTGCACGATCAGCTACAAAACTGCAGACGACTCGTGCGGTCCGACGGAAAGATAACGGTCACAGGAAAACCTGTCGGAGTGCGCGACGACCTCGCCATGACGTTCATCCTGTGGTTGGCTTGGACTTGTTTCTTTCGATCTCTATTATTATGTTTAAAACAAATAAAATGTTAGAATAGAATATGTGGTTTCTCAAGTATTCTTTCTTTTATTTTCGTAAGTGTCGTACACCGCTTCCTAGTCGAACGTACGGCACACGCAACACGTCGTGATACAACATGCGCACATCTCGCACGCAATCAGGTGACCGCACGGCTGGGCTAGGACGCTGGCAGGAACGTCGAAACATATTGTGCAAGGAAAGAGTGGTGGCAGAAGGAAGTATTCGCACTCGCTTTCCTTGTGGTCGGGCAAAAAATATTTACAAAAGGCCACGATTCTCTTTCCAGCCATCAACTATTCTCTCGACATGATATTAATAGTCATTAAAAGAGACGATTATCATTTTTTATTGTTTTTAAAATCTTTATTTATAAAAAAAAAACAAAAAAACAAACGATAATAGCTGTTCAACCTCTCCCGGATACCGATAACAAACCTTGCCATATCAATTCCTCTATTTGCTCATCCAATCCGGACAACGTGGTAGCCTGTCGCTCCGTCTCGGCTCTCGTCATAGCGAGTTCCTGTCTGAAGATTCGATTGCGTTAGGATATCGACTCGAGAAGGGCTTTCATGCGAGCGATCTCCATGTCGCGTTCGGCAATGGCCGCTGCCAGACAGCCGGTGTGATAAGTTGGCTTTTGGACTTTGAGTATTTTTCTTCTTTCGTCTAACCGGCAGTTTCGAAATAACATGTAAATTTGGTAATCGATCGGCATTTATGAGTTAGGATTAGGGTCGTCGTCGTGCGGAAGAACAAGTGCGATAAGATTCCTGTGAAGAACGCGATCGAACAGGCGACGTTGAAAAGAGTTTTCAAAAAGTCCAGATTCTCCCTGCACACTCACCGGACGTCGGCGTCGACAACTTGTTCACGATGACGTACAGCTGTATCTTTCCGCCCGAATCCGTCGACGGAACCATGATCGTCTTCAGAAATTTGTCGCCGTGCGTCCGTCTGAGCCGGCGGTGCAGGCTTTTCAACGAACACGATCCGTCCAGCGTTGTCTTGAAGGTTTGCACGTACAGAGTTTCGAATGCGCACTCTCGGACGTCGTCGCAAACGCAATCTTCTTCGTCGTCTTGCAGTTCGTCGCTGGGCACTCCGGACTTATCGAATATCACGTTGAAGGAGATCTTGTTGGCGGATTTCGGTTTGTGGACGTGTACGGCCATTCCCG